ATATAATTTTTATATATTATTAAATAAATATATATACAATATTAAAAGTTTATAAAAAAATCAATTATTAAATAAATATTATATAAAAAAATTATCTATCAATTATTTTTCCATGTTTTAATTTGATAATCTTTATCTATTTCTAACAAATTCCATCGTTTTTAATAATTATTTAATAAAGATTCATAATTCAAAGTTTTTTCACTAAAAATAGATTCACTTAAGGCTGTAAGTGCAACACATAATTAGGCTCTAAACAAAAAACAGTTCAAATAATGCTAAAGTTTAAGAGAGTAGGTTTGGGTAAATCAGAGTTAACGAGGATGCTGGCAGCTGAAACTTTTATCTGTGAAAGGGGGTAGTGGTGGTCATACTCATGGTGACAATGGATCACCCAATTCATTTAATGTTCTATAAACTGTTGCGAGGAGTGCAAGCTTTTCCTGCAACTATCCCACCACTACAGTATTTATCAAAACAATTAGGTTAAAATACCAATTTAACCTAATTGCAGCCTACAAGGAAAAGATAGTGCCACTAACTATTTATTGATCTGAGTGGAAGTAGTTTGGTTTTTTTTTAAATAAAATTTTGAATTCAAGTTCTGAAAATGGAAAAATAGACATTGGGAGAGCTTCTCCAAATAAGATTCAATGCGGTTCAATTCTAAATTAATTGAGATTTAATGTAGTTATTAAATGCCAATAAATTAGTAAAAAAAAAAAAAAAGAGGGCAGGCCTCCTTATCCTTGTGTTGGGGAGCTGTGAGTCTGCCAAAGGTCAGCAGTAAAAAATAAAAAAATAAAAAAAGGGTTGGATGTCTAGTGGGTTAATGGTTAACGGTCAACGAAACAGTCCATTAACCCAAAAGTGGACGGACAACCCAAAATTGGACGGAACTTGGATGGAGGGACACATTGATATAATTTTTAATAGTAGAGGGAGACATCTGTAGTTAATTCATAGTAGAGGGGGGACATGAGGGGAATTGAAAGTAGAAGGTTTAAATTGAACCTTTTTTGATAGTAGAGGGATGATAGTTGGCATTAACCGAATTCTTTATGATTAATGTGCTTTTTTTATATATTAATTTGTACTTCTATTACGTAGATTTTTTTAATATAATTTAATGTTAAAATATGCATTAGTTGTGCCTTTAATTATGCCAAAAAAATTCCTTTTTCTAATTAACAATAATTAGTAATCATTGAAAAATTATTGTGGGTATCCTGCAAATTCGAAATTTTCCACGTTTCAAGCTTTCATGATTAATTTAGAAAAACAACTTAAAAAAAAACTACTTCTATATTTCCTTATTCATTTCACTCGATGTTAAAAAACTCATAGGTGTGAGACTTGTAAATTGGTCAAACCTTTATCTACATTTTGTATATTATTTATTTTATTTAATATTTTAAAAAAAATACTAACAAATTTAAATAATTTAATGATTATCTATTTTTATTAAAAATAAAAAAATCTTAAATTTAAGTTGCATGGTATAGGGATAAAATAAAATAAAATATAAAAGATAATTAATTTTTATTATGTAACTAAGATAAAATATATATATATCTTAACAAAAATTTTTTTTATCAACACTCATTATAATTTAAAATTAACCATCAAAATTTTCATTTGTGTTTTGATTTTATTAATAATTTAAATTTTTTTAGAAATTTTAATTTAAACAAATTAACTAAAAGTAATAATTATAAAAATATTAACCATAAAATTCAAGATACAAATAAAGAGTTTGGTTTTTTAAATTTAAATTTAAATTGTCATCTCTTATCCGTTGTTGAGACGTGGAGATTACTAATCCTTATCCTGCTTAATTTAATTTTAATTTTACTTTTATAAAATGTGGAAAATGGGGATGGTATCAAATGTTTGTGTTGGGGACCACTATATATGGTTTGAAACTGAGACCAATATATATGGCACAAAATCTTTGGTGGAGCCTTGGGAGGTGGAGGCGGTCCAAATTTAGGTGCCTTAGGTGAGATTCCTTCAACAACATGCATTGATATGTACTACCAAAACAAATGGCACCCATGGTTAGTACATAGTACACACAACATTATTTGTTTGCAGTACAAAACTTAAAAGTGCTTGGGTTGACGCATTATTTTTTATTTGTTATTAATTTATATAATAATAAAAATCAAACCCAAGTATTTGTTTATATAATTTTTTTCAAAATCAATTTTTTTTTTTTATGTTTTGGAATAAAAAATCATTTTTGTATTATTGAACTGGATGGAGCTGTCAATTATTGAAAAATAGAAATTAATTTATTAAAGAATTATTATTGTCATAAGTCATAACGCGTTGGAATTGGACTTAAGAATCCAGATCCGTGTTTTCTGGAAACATGAAGTAAGCCGTGACAGCATCCATGTGGGCGGACCGTAAGTAAGTTTGTGCAGATTTCTATTTGGGCTTCGAATTCTAGACCATACCATGGGTCCAAGGCCCAAACCAACTTTCTTCCCAAAAAAGCGTGTATATACATAGAAAAAAAATGCTATGGTAATAATGTAACATGCTTCTAATATAATTTATTATTAAATAATTAATTTTTTTATTTAGTAATATAATTTTAATATTATATACATTTATTTATTATTATTATATTATAATTCTAAACTTCAATTCTACATAACA